CGCTTGTCTGGTTGTACCGCTTGTGCTCGTGACCTTAACCCCCCCCCGCTGCAAATCTCTCTCGTGTTCCATCCTTCTCCCTCCCCTTTGTCTCTTCCCCCGGCCTTCCTTCCATTGCTTTAGGGGCTGCGCCAACTACACGTGGCAGGTAAGGAAGATGTATCCCTAGGGGGGGGGTACGATTGAAGACGAAGAGGGCGGGTATCGAGGGTTTGGGATTTACATGTTAATTGACACGCGAGTAGATGGAAGCGGATAAGTTTGAAGTGATTGTTGTTGCTGCTGCTGCTGCTGCTACTAAATCTTAATTATTCAAAAATTACTATTGCTGGAACCCTGAAGGCGCTTTGGCGCTCTCGCCTGGGTGCGGGCTGCATTCCCTTGAACCTTAAGCTCAAGCTCAGGCGCTTCGGGGTTCCACCCAAATCGACCCCCCAACATCAGCAACAACAGCAGTAGCAACAACAACGACAATAACAACAGCAACTTCAACACAAACACCACCACCACCACCAACAACAACAGCAGCAGCAACAACAACAACGAACATTTTAAGACTGTTCGCTCTTACTGGCACGCGTGTCTTGCGTCTGTGTACCCAACCCTCGATAACAGCCCCTGTCGTCTTCGATTGCACCCCCTTTCGGGGGGAATCTCTTCCTTGTCGGCCAATGGCTGAAGTGCGACGAAGTCTCGAGCGAGAGCGCCGTTCCTGAGCTCGGGGGCCTCTCTGGCCAGGGGCCCTCCGAACACCTATGGACAAACATCGAACGGGAACCCTTGTCGCCTTGTCTGGGCCTCCACCAACTTGCCTGAAGTAGTTACGAGAAACTCTCGAGCGAGAGTGCCGTTCCTGTGTTCGGGGGCCTTCCTGGCCAGGGGCTCTGGGAGTAAATCGTGAGGAAATATCGAGCAGGAGCCCTTGTCGTCGTGGCTGGGCCTCCGCCAACTTGACTGAATTGCGAGGATGTCTCGAGCGAGAGCGCCGGTCCTGAGTTCGGGGGCCTCTCTGGCCAGGGTGTCTCGGGGTAAATTGTGAGGAGGTATCGAGCGGGAGACGTTGTCGTCGTAGCTGGGCCTCCAAAGGCTCACATTTACACTCAAGCCAACGCTCGCGCGGGAGCCTCGTTTCAGAGAAAATGTAGCCCGCATCGAAGCGAGAGCGCGCGGAACCGTTTCCGGAGATCAACCATAATAATTCTTTGAGAATGAGGACTCAACAGCAACAACGACAGCAACAACGACAACGACAACGACAACGACAACGACGACGACAACGACAACGACAACGACAACAACAACAACAACAACAACAACAACAACAACAACAACAACAACAACAACAACAACAACACCAACAACAACAACAGCAACAACAACAACAACAACAACGACGACGACGACGACAACAACAACAACAACAACACCAACACCAACACCAACAACAACAAAAACAACAACAACAACAACAGCACCAATAACGAACACTAAAAACAGCAACAACGACAACACCACTAGCAACAACAGCAGCAACAGCAATCATTTTAAGACTGTTCGCTCTTACTTGCACGTTGCATTCTGTATACCCCAACCCTCGATACCCGCACTCTTCGTCTTCGATTGCACACCCTTTCGGCGGGAGTATCTTCCTTGTCGGCCTCTGACAGAAGTGCGACGAGGTCTCGAGCGAGAGCGCCGTTCCTGAGCTCGGGGGCCTCTCTGGCCAGGGGCTCTCCGAACACCTATGGACAAACATCGAACGGGAACCCTTGTCGCCGTGTTTGGGCCTCCACCAACTTGCCTGAAGTAGTTACGAGAAACTCTCGAGCGAGAGTGCCGTTCCTGTGTTCGGGGGCCTTCCTGGCAAGGGGCTCTGGGAGTAAATCGTGAGGAAATATCGAGCAGGAGCCCTTGTCGTCGTGGCTGGGCCTCCGCCAACTTGACTGAATTGCGAGAATGTCTCGAGCGAGAGCGCCGTTCCTGAGTTCGGGGGCCTCTCTGGCCAGGGTGTCTCGGGGTAAATTGTGAGGAGGTATCGAGCGGGAGCCGTTGTCGTCGTAGCTGGGCCTCCAAGTCAACGCTCGCGCGGGAGCCTCGTTTCAGAGAAAATGTAGCCGGCGTCGAGGCGAGAGCGCGCGGAACCGTTTCCGGAGACCAGCAATAATTATTCTTTAGCAGTCCGGCTCGATACTTCCTTTTTTTTCAGATCTGGGGCTCGTGCTCGCCGCCCAAATCCGCCTTTCCAGCAAAATTGGCGATGCCACTCGATACTTCCTTGCTTTTTACTCAGGGCTGGGGCTCCCGCCTCGGCGCCGCAACCAGACCCCCTACAAACAACGACGCTCCCGCTCGATACTGTCTTCATTTTCACTCAGGACTGGCGCTCTTGCTCGCCGCCGAAAGCGGGCCCTCCACTTCCTTGCTTTTTACTTGGGACTGGCGCCATTTGGCTCGCCGCCGAAAGCCGGCCATCCAACAAAACCAAGCCTCCGGAGGGGTCTTCTCGGCTGTTCCTGACCTCGTGAACCTCTCGGGCCCCTCCCGAGCCTCCTCCCATTTTGCGCTGCACTGACCCTGATCGAATAGTGTTCACAGCGTCCGGCTCGATGAGATGCCAATTTAGGCGAAGCAGCCTGGTTTCAGAAAAGACAGGCAAGCACGCCACACGCGAGAAGAGGGGCGCATAGTGAACAGTGCAAGGATCACATCCCGAGGTCTCCCTCCTCCTCCTCCTCCTTTTCCTCCTCCTCCTCCTCTTCCACACAACACAACAACGCACAACACAATCCAACACAACAAAACACACAACACAACAAAACCCACCACACAACAAAACAACACAACACACAACACGCAATATACAACACACACACACGCACACCACACAGCACACAGCACACAACGCACAGTACACAACACACAACACACAACACAGAACACACAACAAACTACAAACCACAACGCAAAACAACACAACACAACATAAAATAACACAGCAGAAGACAGCGACCCGCAACACTGCATAGACAACACACACACAACACTCATGTACACGCCAAGACCCACGTTCAATTGTACTCTTCCTTTCTCGCCTCCGTCCTCATCTCATCTTCCTCCTCCTCCTCCTCCTCCTCCTCCTCCTCCTCCTCCTCCTCCTCCTCCTCCTCCTCCTCCTCCTCCCTCTGTATAATACGCAAACGGCCCACCCGAGAACATACCAGGTCTCCGGACACAGCTGCCTGGGGGGAGGAGTGGGGCAATGAGAGGGGAGGAGGGGGCGAATGATGATGTGGGGCGCACCGAGCCTCGGCGGGCAGTTTCCTCTGGCCGAGCCGGGCCGCGAGCGCCGCGGGCCTGCACCGGGGCAGGCGCAGGCTGCGCGCGGAGTTCCAGTTCGCGTTGCCGCTGGACTTTGAGGGCGTGGCAGGTCACGTAGGCCGTGGCCAGGCACATGAAGTGTCGTTCGTCTTGGTCAGGAGGATGTGCACGCTGACAAACAGGCATCTCATGCACAGGAAGGCGTAGCCCGAGGCGCAGTGCTCGCCACAGCCCTGGGGCATTCGAGGCAGTTCTTGGCGGTCCCTGGCGCTGTGGCATCCGGGGCGGCATGGGCGGTGGCCGCGATCGCCGAGAATCCGCCACGACGTCATCCACGCATTTTCCCAGGACCTCAGAACCAGCCAGGTCCATGAGGTAGGCAGGCGCAGGATATTGATCTTCAGGACTTCGGACCAGCTCGGCGCACTGGGGCCTCCAAGGCAGCACCTGCTCGGAAGTCTATCTCGGAAAAGTCGAGGCGGAAGAGGTCTCAGATATTAGAGCAGCACGCACAGCGCGCTGCCACTTTAGTCGGCGCCGCGGCTGCGGCAGCACGTCATCGGGCCGGAGGTGGTCATCATCTCGAAGAGCGTGGTCCACCAGCAGAAGACCCAGAGCCGCACGACCCGCTCTCAGGAGTCGGAGTGGGGGCAAGCCAGGGCACTGCCAGCAAACACGAACTGCGTACAGGCGCCCCACGAAGGTGGGAACCGTCCAGAAGCGGGGAGAGAGCACGGCCAGCTCACCGCACTCGTTCAGCATGGTGATTGGAAGGTGCAGGATCTGCTCGGACACCTCGGCAGCAAACTCGGCATGCAGCTGGGGAACAACTGCTCCGAAGGTCACCCAAGCTGGCCGTATCAGCGCCGCAACTCTACAGGTCGACCGCGTAGGAATGCGAGGCCCGCCCCATTCACGCAGCCGAGCAAATTTGGTTGGTTGTAGTGCGCCAGCGGGTACGCGACACGTCGAAGCGATAGTCCCAGCTCGCGAGGAGGACGTAGATCAGCAAGAAGAGGTACCTGTTGGGCGACGTACGAGAAGCACGGTACACACCGCGAGGAGCAGTGATGAGCAAGTCCCCGCGACATCACCTTCACAATGGGCTCGCGGCGCTGCTATTCATCATCAGCCGCGGGCCCACGCCAGAGACCCAAGTTTTTTCCGTGCCCAGATGGAACACCTGGGCGTCACAACCCGAATGAAGGTGCCCAAGGTGCCTGCGCGAATTCACACGCAGTCGGACCTCACAACATGAACGGCGGCACAGACTCGCCCCAAGCGTCACATCAGCGCCGCCGTTGCGAGGCACCTCGGGATGCCACCCCGAAACACGGCCGCCCGAGACCAAAGTACTTGAGGACGGGTACGATCTGGAAGGCTCGCCGCGGCGGCACCGGAGTGCCCAGACGAGCCGAAACCTTCGCCTGCAGCTGCACAGAGAAGGCCGCCTCCAGCGGGGTCACGCTGCACTAAGAGGAAGAGGGAGAGGAGGAGGAGGAGGAGGAGGAGGAGGAGGAGGAGGAGGAGGAGGAGGAGGAGGAGGACGAGGAAGAGGAGGAGGAGAAGGAGGAGGAGGAGGACGAGGAGGAGGCAGACAACGATGGCGACGGCGACGGCGACGACGCCGACGACAGCAACGACTTCAGCGTCTGCGACGGCGACGACAACGGGCGGCAGGCCGACGGAGAAGAGGTGCTGCGTCCACGTCCGCTCCAGCAGGTCCTCGCGCCTCCCGCGGGCCAGCTCGTTGTCGCCGCTGCCGCTGCCGCCGCCACCGTCGTCGTCTTCGTCGTCAACGTCGTCGTCGTCGTTGCCGTCGTCGTCGTTGTCGTCGTCGTCGTCGTCGCCGTCGTCGTCGCCGTCGTCGTCGTTGTGTTCGTCGTCGTCGTCTCCGTCGTCGTCGTAGCCGCTGCCGTCGTCATCGTCGTCGTCTTCGTCGTCGTCGCCGTCTTCGTCGTCGTCGTTGTTGTTTTCGTCGTCGTCGTCGTCCTCTTCGTCGTAGTCGTCTCCGCCGTCGCCGTCGATAGCGTCGTAGCCGCCGCCACCGCCACCACCGCCGCGGTCGTCGTCGTCGTCGTCGTCGTCGTCGTCGTCGTCGTCGTCGTCGTCGTCGTCGTCGTCTCTACCACCGCCATGTCGGGCATCGGACGTCATCGTCGCCACCGCCACCACTGTCGTCGTCGATTTCGTCGTCGTCGTCGCCGCCGCCGCCGCCGTCGTCGTCGTCGTCGTCGTCGTCGTCGTCGTCGTCGTCGTCGTCGTCGTCGTCGTCGTCGTCCTCATCGTCTCAGTCGTCCTTTTCGCCGTCATTGTTCAAGATCGAAAGTGCACTAAACAGAAGGAGTCACGGGATGCCTCCTCTCCGGGGCGACCTCCAGGGACCGCCGCGGGAGGTCGTCGTCGTCGTCGTCGTTGACGTCGTCGTCGTCGTCGTCGTCGTCGTCGTCGTCGTCGTCGTCGTCGTCGTCGTCGTCGGAGGGGTCCTGAGGGAAAGGGGGCCTCCACAGGCCCCGTGAACGTCAACAAGCTACTCAAGATGAAGAGCTGGTCCTGGGAAAACCACAGAATCTCGCACACGTGTCCCCCAGGATCCATTTCCGCCATGGCGACCTCCCTCTCCCTCAGAGCGGACCCCTGGAACTGTCTGGGAGCGCAGCCTGACGAGGATCTCAAAAGAGCAATCCGGCCGTGCCACGGGTGACAACTTTAGACAACTACGATGGAGCCGCGATAGGGGGGGTTACGAATGGGGGGGGTCGCGATAAGGAGATGGCCAGGGGTAGGGACACATGGCCACGGGAACCAGCGCGAGGCAGCGCCGCCTCCCCCCCCCCGATGCCAGAGCAGGCGCTCCACCCATGATGCCCCCAATGTGCATACGTCGGGAGGTGGGGGGGGAGATCGACATAACAAGGAGGCCCCCACCATGAAATCGGTGTCGGTTTCGTGTCCTGCGTGCGGGCGAGGCGAGGCTGCGTGGGCGGGCGGGCGGAACGAGCTCGCCGTTGCCAGGGCGACACTGGGCCGAATGTTGCTCCCCCATCCAGTTGGCCAGCGGTGTCCGCATGGTGTCCCGGTGGTGTCTCGATGGTGCCCAGGTGATGTCCCGATGGTGCCCCGATTTTATCCCGATGGTGTTCCAATGGTTTTCCGATGGTGCCCCGATGGTGTCCCGATGTTATCCGCATGGTTTCCCGATGGTGCCCCGATGGTGTCCCGATGGTGTCCCGATGGTGTGTCCCGATGGTGTGTCCCGATGGTGTGTCCCGATGGTGTCCCGAAGGTGCCCCGATGATACCCCGATGGTGTCTCGATGGTGTCCCGATGGTGTCCCGATGGTGTCTCGATGGTGTCACGATGGTGTCCGCATGGTGTCCCAATGGTGCCCCGATGGTGTCCCGATGGTGTCCCGATGATGTCCCGATGGTGCCCCGATGGTGTCCCGATGGTGTGTCCCGATGGTGTGTCCAGATGGTGTCCCGATGGTGCCCCGATGGTGCCCCGATGGTGTCTCGATGGTGTCCCGATGATTTTCCGATGGTGTCTCGATGATGTGTCCAGATGGTGTCCGCATGGTGCCCCGATGGTGTTCCGATGGTGTCTCGATGGTGTCCAGATGGTGGCCCTATGGTGCCCCGATGGTGTTTCGATAGTGTCTCGATGGTGTCCCGATGGTGCCCCGTTGGTGTTTCGATGGTGTCCAAATGGTGTCCCGATGGTGTCACGATGGTGTCTTAATGGTGCCCCGACGATTGTCCCGATCGTTGTCTTGTGAGATCGGTAGATAGACGAATAATGAGATCGATGGATCGTGAGACCGATCGACCGTGAAATCGACAGATACATAGTGGTATCGATTGTGAGATGGAACGTTAGACCGATTGATGGCGAGACTGATCGATTGTGAGTGGCCAGTGGTGAGATCAATACTGAGATTTATGAACATATACTGGAACCGTTCGTGCAATACTACGGTCGATCGTGATACCGAGAGATCGGCAGTGAGACCGACAGTACGATCGACAAACATATAGGAGATCGATGCTGCGATCGACAGTGCAACCGATAGTGAGGTCGATCATGGGACCGAGAAACAGAGATAGTGAGATCGATCGTGAGACCGACCGTGAGCTCGATGGCGGGACCTACAATGAGGTCAATAGTGAGGCTTGTAGACGAATGCACTGCCGTGACGCAAGTTTGCTGTTGGAATCTCCTGCCCCTCTGCAGCTCTGAAGACCCCAAACGTGGGCAGATGGCCTCTGCGCTCCCGCGTAGCAACTTTGCTTATTAAGAACCCTGTTAGGTCCAAAACAGGATCGGACATTACCCAGCCCAACCTATCATGAAGCATGGGGCGGGATGCTTGTCCGCGCGGAGTAATCTCTGCTCTGCTCACTCCGCCTACTCCACCAGTTGTCAGTCATCGTGCACGCAGACCAGATGGTACTTGTGTCACGGCGATGCAGTTGACGGATGGACCACAGTGCCCCGATGGTGGCATTTACTAGTATCCAGGGTGTCCCATGGTGTCCCACCGCATTTGTCATCTGTTGGGTCCGCCGCCCCAACAACCTCCTTATCACCCGAAGGGTGGTCGTATACAGCCAAACGTCGGATCAATATAATGAGCATTCTAAACATCAGGGCCAGCTTCCTGGCAATTTCTCAAAACAAGCTTGGGCCAATGTTTGCTGTTAGCGCTGGAGGCGCGAACATGCTCAAGAAACTGGGCCAGCTTTCTGGCAAGCCGATTGAGAAACGCTGGCCCAACTTTTCGGGGGGACACGTCTTAATAAAATGCTCGACTGTGGGTCTATCCGCCGCCGTGCCGCTGGGCACGGAGTGGGCGTGTCCTCAAGTCCTTCGCCCAATCCACTGAACCTCAGTCCTCGATCCTAAGAATTGAAAAGGCCCGGACCCAAATTGCCAAATCTCCTAGGGCTTTCCGCGTGCCCCCTGGAGTTCCTTGCAGCTTGTCGCGTGACTTGTCGGTCCTAAGAAGGCCCCAAGACGGGCCAAGAGGGTTCCAAGGGGCTCCGAAGACGGTCCAAGAGGGCACGGAATCGCCGAACGATCGCTCCAAGACGCTCAAGACAGCCCCCAGACGGCCCCAGAGGCCTCCAAGACGCCCCAGGAGGCCTCCACGAGGCTTCCCAGGAGGGCGGTTTTTGGCGTTCTCGCCAATTCAGCTTCCCGACGCTCCCAGGTGGCCCTAAGGGCCCCCAAGATCGCCCTAAGACGGTCCCAGCGGCCTCCAAGAGTGCCCCCAAACGGCCCAAGAGGGCCTCCACTGCCCAAGGGGCGCTCAATATATAGCTCAAGAGGCCCCAAAGACGGCTCCAAGAGGGGCCCTGATGGGGGCGACCCGAACGGACATTTCGAGCCCTCGGCCCCAAGAGGTCCCCAGGAGGCCACAAGAGGCCCCCAAGATGCCCCAAGAGACACCCAAGAGGCCCCCGCGAAGCCCCCCAAAAGGCTCCCAAGAGGCCCCCAAAACTGCTCCCAAGAGGCCCCCGAGGGCGCTCCCGAAAAGACCCCGAGAAGCACCCCATGAGGACCCTGCCCCGCAAGCCAGGCACGGTGGCGAGATTGGCCGCAGGCCATTCGACCTGCCGCCCATTTTTGGCTTGCCACAGGGGTGCCTGGCGTGCTGAGGTTCAGGAGGTTGTTGGTTCTTTTCGAACTCCTCCTCCTCCTCCTCCTCCTCCTCCTCCTCCTCCTCCTCCTCCTCCTCCTCCTCCTCCTCCTCCTCCTCCCCCCCCTCCTCCTCGTCCCCTCCCCTCCTTCCTCCTTTCTCCTTCCTCCTTCCTCCTTCCTCCTTCCTGGGGCTTCGGTGCAGCGCGCCGGGGGTGCGTGTCTCGTCGGTCTTGCCACTCAAGATGGCCCCTGGATGGCCTCCTTGACGGCCAGGATGCCTCCGAGACGGCCACGATGGCCCCAAGAGAGCCCAAGATCGCTCCACGATCGCCTCCAAGACGGTCTCAATCTGCCTTCAAGACGACCATCAAGATGGTCCAAGATAGCCCAAGACGGCCCCAGAAGCGCCCAAGAGTCCACGAAGATGGTCCAATAGGCCTCCAAGAGGTCCTCCAGGAAGGCCCGAAGAGGCCGACATCATTGATTCTCCGTAGCTTCTGACAGAATTTGGCATGCTTCCTTTTTGGCCTTCCGAGGGCCCAAGATGGGTCCAGAGGCGGCCCCCTGCTGGCTTGCCGCAGGGGTGCCTGGCGTGCTGAGGTTCAGGAAATTTTCGGATCGGTTGGACCCCCCCCTGGGGCTTCGGCACAGCGGGCCAGGGTGCGTGTCTCGTCGGCCTTGTCGCTCAAGATGGCCTCCTTGACGTCCAAGATGCCTCCAAGACGGCCCCCAAAGAGCCTAGCATAGCTCCAAGATCGCCTTCAAGACGGTCCCAACATGCCTTCAAAAACCACCAAGATGGTCCAAGATAGCCCAAGATGGCCCCAGAAGCGCCCAAGAGGCCCCGAAGATGGCCCAATAGGCCTCCAAGAAGTCCTCCTGGAAGTCCCGAAGATGCCAAACTCATCGATCCCCTTTACGCTGTTTAACAGAATTTGGAATCTGTTTTTTATTCTGACTTCCGGCGGCACAAGACGGCCACAGAGGCCCCAAAGATCGCCTCAAGATAGTCCCAAAAGCATCCAAGATGACCCCATGACGGCCCAAGAAGCCTCCAAGACGGCCCCAAGAGGGCCCCAAGACGGCCCA